ACTGGGACTTGGGGAATATAAATGCTGACACTGGCTACAGTGATGGCTGTGAGTAATAAGGCCCTTTGTCTCTGAATCGGGAGTCTCACATCTTCTGCCAGCATTCCTGAAACTGCGGCAGGCTAACTTGTTAGATGCAAGATGGGTAAAAACCCTTCACAGTTCTTGACAAGTTCTGTCTCCATTGTTAACATCCTACCCTTAGCTCTGACTGGAGTACCTACCACAGCTGCCTAACCAGTCTCCTCACTCCTGATTTTGCCTTTCTGTCATATAGTCATAGTGTCTTTAGCAGCTTGATTTCTTTTTTTTTTTTGGCTTGAGGAAGATTAGCCGTGAGCTAACATCTGTGCCAATCTTCTTCCACTTTATGTGTGGGTTGCCACCACAGCATGCCTGACAAGTGGTGTAGGTCCAAACCCGTGAACCCGAGCCACTGAAGTGGAGTGCACCAAACCTAACAACTACACTTTGGGGCCGGCCCTGGATTTTTTTTTTCCCCTAAAATGTGAGATCATTAAACTCCTTTGCTTAAAATCTTTTGATGGTTTCTTTTCTCATATAGAATAAAATCTGAACTTTTGCTATGGGCTATAAAGTCTTGCATGATCTAGCTGCCCTGCCTACTTCTCATATAAAGTCACTCTTCCATCTACTCATTTAACTGTAGCCATATATCTCTTTCTTTTCTAAGACACTTTTGCCTAGGGGAGTTTGTACTTGCTGTTTCTTCTGTCTAGCATGTAGAATTCCCATGGCTGGCTCCTTCCCAACCTTCAGTGAAGTATTATGAAATAGGCACTAGTAGGGGTGGCAAACATTTTTTGAAAGAATTTGAGATTTGATATATAGTTTTTTAAATCTTCAAAATGTTCTACATGGGAAAATCGGAATTTCTTTGTAAGTATTTGATCGTTGTCAAAATTCTAGAGTCGCCTCCAAAGTCTCTGCTTACTGTAGGTAAAGTGCTTCACTTGCCGCAACCCCAATAACAATCCAGCAGCTTGCTACTCGAAAAGTAGGGTCCTTTGTCTAGCAGCATCTCCATCACTTGGAAGCTTGCTAGAAATCCAGAATCTTGGGTCCCATCCGTTCTTACTAAATCAGAATCTTTATTTTAGCACGATCCCTGGTGATTTGTATGCACATTAAAGTTTGAGAAGCACCGCAGTAGCATAACCCCCTCTTCCTTCCATCACGCACTTAACACCGCATGAGTTATCTGCATTTTCATTTGTTCATTATTTACTCTCCATTTATCCTCCCTTACTCCACACTAGACTATAACTTATGAAGGAGGAGATACTTGACTATGTTTGTAGCTGGTCTCCAAGGCCCATAGTAAGTGCTCACATATGTTTGGAAGATGTGAGTGAACAAAACACTCAGTAATTACTATGAATTAATTCCTTTATGGAAACCTTTACACTCAAACATGGCCTAGTGTTTATTTACACCATTTAAACTGTGTAACAGATCCCTGATGACTCAGTGTTGATTTTTACACTGTCCAGCTTAGTTTCATTGTGATACAGAAGGAGATGGCCTGGATATTTCTCACAGATACTTTAAATTTTCGAATTCTTACTCAAGTTCTTGCTTGCTCTGTTTTGGATGCCTGTAATAGCTTCAATTAGTCTTGCTTGTTCTAGGCTTTACTCCTACAAATCCATCCTTCATATTAAATAGTGTGAAAGGTATGGGTTTGGATCAAAAAACTCGCGCTCCTATTTCCTAACTGTGCCGCCTTGAAAGTTAATTATCCTCTGAGTCTGTTTACACATCTTTCTGATGGATAAGAAAACTTGCTTTCCAGGATGCTAATAAGGATAAGTAAGCAAAGCATATATGCGAAGCGTCTAGCCGAGTCAGGTCTGAGTTGATCAGGAAGAGTTTGTTTCTTTCTTACCTTTCATCATGACACTTTTTGGCTGAGCAAACAACCAACCAAAAGAAAACAAGAAAAATTAAAAAATTGCAAAAACTCAAAGCCCTTAAACATTATTTAAATGAATTCCTCCACCTGGTATAATCTGACCAAGTTACCAATTCCTATTAGTGTCTCACTACACCCAACTCAGCTTCCACTTGAGTAAGACCAATATTGCTGTGTTCTGCTTAGTTCCATTCTGTCTTGTCTCAAGAATATCCCCTATATGCTCTACATTCTGTAACTACCTTAATTGTACTTTTCTGCCAAGGTACAGGGTGAAATCCAACCTCTTCAGCAGTATTCCTGGAAAGACCAAGCTCTTACTGATCCAACTCTTCTTTGAAACCCATGGGCATTTAAGAGTTTGTATCACCAATTTAATTATAAACTGTTCTGTGTTAATCTTGAATTCTTTTATGCTTGTATTTTTTCCCAGCTGGGATATAAGCTTTTTGAAGACTGGAATGTTTATTTATAACTCACAAGGGGTGGCAAAGTGCTGAGTCATAAACCTTGTTGACTGTATGATATCCAAATTCCTTCTAGCTGCCTTTCAATTATCAGGTACTTTTAAAATGCTGCTGATTCTCTTGGAGCCACAGGGTTTCCCTCTGGGAAATTTTAAATCTCAGTCTTGTTCTGGAATTTCTAGAACAAGGGTCCCCAGTTCAAATGGTTATAGTGTCCATGCAGAGTCATATGTGCAGGGAGCCAGGTGCAAGATTTCAGGGACTGGTGGGAGTTGTGGGCAACAGCAGCGAGAGTGCTCTGTTTAGAGGCATAAGCACTACTCAGGTCAGGCTAATTGTTACATGTAGGAATCTGAGTCCACACCATGTTTTATTTTGTTAAGAGAAGCCAAGAATCTGGATATTTATGTAAAATTTCTCAATTTTCCAACTTTGACAAATATTTCAAAGAATATCCAAACAGTGCAGGCCAAACTAAAGATATCTGTGGGATAAGAAGAGCATGTGATTCATTAGAGCAGTGGTTCTCAATAATGGCTGCAAGTTAGAGTCACTTGGGGAGCTTTGGAAAATCCTGATATCCAGACCACAGACTAGGCCAATTAAATCAGAATCTCTGGGGCTGTGCCCGTGGTAGCTTTATTTTTTTCAAAGCCACCCTCTTGATTCAATGTGCAGTCAAATTTGAAAACCACTATGTTGGAGGCTCCATTCTACCTTCTCATTTCTTTTGTAAATTTAGGATTGGTACTATTTGTAAGGACTAAGTGAGGCCTCAGATGATCGCAGTGTGATTGGGTGCCTTAATTAGTATTGACCTTAAAACACTCAACTCTGCAACTTCTGCCCTATTTGCCTTATGACTTCTTCCATGCAGTGAAACTTGGAGTATCTTCAGCCAATTCTATTTAGTCAATTGATCTACTATATTGCTATCATGTTAAAGGAAAAAAAGTCATTATTTGTGTTTTAGAAATAAGTGCTAATGCATTCAATAATATTACATTTTTATAATGATATTTGTTTATTCTTAGTAATATTTTCTGCTCTATATTTTTTATTAGATTTTTTTGAGAATGAATAGTTTCTGATCTCATATCTGGAGTAAAATAATTAACATTGTAACTATTTTCTGGTACCATTACCCCAAATCATGTCTGCTAAGGATGGCTTCCTAAGAACTTAAAAAAAAAATCTGTACAGATCCGTAGGAGTGGATGTGCACATAAAGACTGAAGATAGAAACGGGGCATTAAAATACATGAACTTTAGTTCTCCATTTTCATCCCCACCTCCAAAAGTTCATACTCCCCTGTGGTTCATATTATCTGACCTTTGATTTTACCAATTCAGTTCTGATGTTTTCTCTTCTGACAGATTTTCAAAATTTTTTATAGGTGGTCTTAGAAAGCCTGACAATCCCCTCAACATTCAACTTATGTTCTTTATTTTTCTTGCTCTTCCTTTAATACAGTCCGTAGGTTTCAGTGACATAGTTGTGAATAATTTAACAGACTAGATACATTAAGCTTTGCCACTTTCTTGATCCCCTGCTTTAAATAGCTTTGTCTTTTTTTTGAGCTGCAATATTCCAGACTTTGGGAATGCAGGAATTGCTGATAAGCAGAAGACCTGGGGACTGTTAGAACCCGCAGTCGTACTTCATTTTGCGGAATCATGGTGCAACAAGGAAACCATTATGCCTCTGGAAAACTTTAGTCTATGATAACTTAAGAAATATAGAGAATAAAAACCAATTGCCTCAAGAGAAAAAATTCTTATGCTCATTGACACTAAAATCAGAATTATAAATGCAAAAGAAACTGACGGTTTCAACAATTTGAGAAATTATGATGTAATGAACTATTTCTTTCAGAAGAGAAGATAATTATATTTAAGCCCAGAAATTTGAACTATATATTACTAAAGACTATAAATAATGATTTAATTAGGTTACTTGGATAAATACAGTAAAATTTTTAACTAGTTCAAAAATTTTATATATACACACTCACACACACACCCACCCATGTGCCTATAGGAACTAAAGTTGTAGAAAAAGTATAACAAATTAACATTATATTTTAATCTGTTTTAGAGAAGTGATGATACTTATTTGAAGCTTGAGTGAAAGTTTTTAGATCTTTAAACTGATCCTGGCTTAATGTTGCAAGTCTATGTTAATTTACAGACTGATCTGTGGTAGCCAGGTCCTCTTGTATCTAATTTGAAGTATTCTCACTAGCTTCTTAGTGGCTTAAGTCTTATTCTCTTGGCAGTGCTTTCTATATTTAAAAGTTTTATGTGTGTGTGCATGTGTGTGTGTTACATTTTTCTCCCACTAGATTATAAATTGCTTTAATGAATGACCGTGCCATTTACATTTATCTTCCTTCCCTTGCCTAGCACAGTGCTTTGCATATAGTAGGCACTAATTAAATGCTTTAAAAACATATTGAATTCATTTACATATAAAATATAGCAGTTCATCATGGCTTTTATAATTACCTACCTAATTGCTGAGATGAAATAAAAGGAGTCTATAACATTGGCAGGATAAAAGAAGAAAGAAGAGGAAAAAACATTCAAAGACTTACTCTGTAGTCACTTGATGTCACATAAAATATAGGGAGGAAGGCCAACCAGATGATGCAAGTGGTATACATGGTAAAACCAATGAACTTGGCTTCGTTGAAATTTTCTGGGCACTTCCGCGTTTTGAAGGCATACACTGTGCATAAGATCACCAGGATCACATCGTAGGTAAGGGAGATCAACATGCTGGAATCTTTCACATTGCATTTTAAGATAACTGTTTCCCGTTTCTCTGGAAGGGTGTACCGCCTGGTGCCTGGAACCTCCAGGATGAGCCACACGGACACCACCACAATTTGCACCAGTATCAGACCCAGGCAGATGAAAACCTGAGAACTTGGGCTGATGAATTTTGGCCTCTGAGCGCCGTTCTTTACCCCATCGAAGATCCGGGCGATGCAGTTTGTCTTGGTCAGCAGGGCTGAGTAACAGACAGCGAAGGAGGTCCCCAGCCCCAGTCGGCGCAATGTGCAGATGACTGGTGATGGCTTGGCAATGAAGAAGAATGTCATGCAATATGACAGGCCAACCCCAAACAACAAGATGTAGCAGAGCTCCCGGCCTGATGCTTTGACCAAGGGTGTGTTGTTGTGCTTGATAAAAACAGTCACAACCATGCATGTACACAGAAAACCCAGGCAGGCGATGGTGACTGGACCAATGGCCCAGGCATCTTCCCACTTGATGTAGTCCTCGGGAAGGTCAAAGCAGCCAGAGAGGTCAGCAGTAGGCCACTGCCCAAGGCCACAATCCATACAGGTAAACTCGTCAGCCAGGTATTCATAGGGCTCGCAGGGGATGCAGATCCAGCAGCAGACATCCCCTGGTTGCATATTCTTCATTTCATTGGGGGCACAGGGGTCACTGCACTGGGAAGTGGGGATTGAGTTCCGGGACCAGTGGATAGAATCAACATCTAGTGATAAGGTTTCTGCCCAGTGACCAACCTTCAGGTAGGAATACTTGCCACCCACGTACTGGAAATTGAACACGTTGTATCGTCCCATTCCATCTCCAAAAGTGTCAAACTTGACAATGCTATCTGCACCTTTATTTGGGATGAATGGAGCTGTCATATGTAAAGTGAAAAAAAAAAAAAGAACACTGTTTAGGTGTCTTAGATGTGACCAGTCAATTACCTTATGTCATAGACTTAACAAAACAAAACTGAAATAACAGAGAATAGGGATTCTAAGGCTGAAATAATTTACCAATTACCATTGACTTTGCACATTAAAGCTACTAGAGTACTCATGTATTTATAAATTCATTCACTTAACATTCCTGACAGCCTCCTGTGTGCCAAGTGCCAGTGATAAGCATGAGTACAACACAGTGCCTGCCTTCAAAGGAGCTTGCTAAGTAACAGGGAAACTGGCAAACATGTAGTGATATTCTACTTGGTGTGTAAATATTCATTTCTTGAAAGATTTCACAACAGGAGTTGGGCAAAACTTCATGTCTCATCCTTATTACGTATTTATTTATGTACTACCACCAAAATGTTAAATATTTTTGAGAAATTTAAAATTAATAGGAAGAATTTTTCTCCTTCAAAATGAAGAAAAATGTTTTCATTATAAATGTATGGTATGCTTCTCTTAAACAGTTCAGATGATTCAGAAGGAAAAAAATGGAAACCTGTCCATAATCCTTCAGCCTTAATATTTTCATGTTTTGGAGTATATTCATTCTTACTAGATATATGCATGTGTCTATATATGGCATGCTCCTATCTGCATAAACACATATGACCTGGATATCTTGAAGGCACCAACAGTATGTAGAAGCTAGATAACTGTGCTTTAAAGTTTGTTGCTAACTCTTCAGGATCGGCAGCCCTCAGGCAAATGACCTCCCCTCAGCCCTGTTGCTTTCACATAGCTCTCTGCGAGTTGCTAAGAGCAGCAGTTCTTTGAACATCTAAGTTTCCTCTCTTGCAGCTGTTTGTTCATCATGTCTCTCTTGCCAATGTCAGCTGCCACATTGATCATCCATTTTTATGCCGCCTGCTTTGGTCTTACTACTTCACGCTGCCAATCTTTACTGTTTCCTTAGATGTAGAAGAAGAACGTTGATGATGCCTATACAATGCATAGACAGACTCTACTAGTCAAGGTAGGCCTGCCTGTGGTGGTAAAGAGACCCAAAACTGTTTAACATTTCAAACACAGTGGAAGTGTATTTCTCCTCATGCAGCAGTCTAAGGTCTTGGTTGGTGAGTATCTCTCTTTCACACGGTGATTTAGCAACTCAGGCCCCTTCCAGCTTGAGGGTGTGCCCGTTCCTAGGGCCTCCTCCTCATCAGCATGAACCCAGTGGAAGGAGAGTATGAAGCAGGTACACCTGCTTCTTAAAAGTATAAAGCTGGAAGTGGCACATGTTTTCATTCATTAGAAATCAGTCCCAGGGTCACAGCGAACTTCAAGAGGGGCTGGGAACTATAGTTTAGTTAGTGTGCCCAATTACAACCCCTCTATGGAATGGGAAAGGGTGACTGGAGGACACTGCAGAGTTACTCTGTGGCTGTTCGCTGTCTGCACTGCCTCCTCCCTGAGCTCCACTCCACCCTCTCTGGGGCTTGTGTTGTTCCAGCCAATGGGGGAACATGTTACTCTTCTTGGGTCTAGTTATTTTATGGAGGAAAAGGGTCCCTCAAGGAGTTACTTGGGTCCTTGGTGAAGAAAACTTGACATTTTATCAAATAGCCCTCTCCTGCCTTGGACTCATAGGTACCCCTGGAGGTCTGGGCTGGGCAAGTTACAGTAACATTTTATATCACACATAAAGTCTGTTAGCAAGTGTAGTCTAATATGCCAAATTTGTTCCTCACTGATTATGATTTTTTTTTCCCATAGTGATCTTGTCATCTCAACCGCCGTATGACTTAACTAACATTCACCTAGCTTTCTGCCACATTCACAAACCCATCACATATGTGTGTGTGTGTCTGTACTCCAGTTGTGGATTGGCTTCAAGATCACAGTGAGACGGAATGATGTTGTGAACGAATGCACAGTTGGATTTAGATGGACTATGTGTGATTCTGATCTTTGTCTTTTAATAGTTCTATGTCCTTAGGAAAATTAACCTTTCTGACTCTGTTCCTTAATCTGCAAATTATAATAAAAATAAAAATTACAAATAAATAAAAAAGGTGAAAAAAAAAGATCATTTTCCACTGATTTGTAGCACTTGCCAGATATGAAATTGCATGGTACTCAACTCTATGTTATTCGTTGTTTCTCTTGATCTCTTTCCACAGCCGTACGATCTTTCTGTAATTACTACAGTTTAGACTACACTTTAATATCTGTTAGGACAAGTAAACACAGGGGCTGAAACATTTATTACTATATTTTCAGGAGTAGGAGTCAATATCAGAATTCTTATGTTACTTAAAACTAAATTTGTTTAGTCTATGCTTAGAAAAAATTCATTAAACATTGTAGGGACTCCTTTCGTATGTTACAAATAAGCAAAATGTTGAATATTTTAACACATTTACATCAAGCATAGGAACCTGAGATGTGCTATTAATTTTTTTGCTCTCAACTACCCACTCAATCTCCACCAATGTTCAGTTGATGTTATTAGATTATTATGGAAAATATTTGTAAAAGGAATCTATTTTACATCTTTAATTTAAACACTTTATTATTTTCACAGCTATTCTTGAATGTAAAATTTCTTAAAAGTAATATTTGATAGATGATAAAACTGATTGTTTTGTGTGTTCTCAACTGGAGGGGTTATTGGTAAGATTGTTGGCATGTGAGCTAATAATGTAAGCATTAAAGATGTAAAACATTCCTTTTACAAATCTTTCCTGGAAATCATCTAACATTATCAACTAAACATTGGGGGAGAGCTGTTGCCTGGTTGAGAATAACAAAACTAATAATACCTCTGAGGTTTCTATGCTTGATGTAAAATGTGTTAAAATACTCGACATTTTACTTATTTGTAACATATGAAAGTAGTTTCTAAAATTTTTAATGAGTTTTTCTAAGCATCAAATAAACAGTTTGATGTAACATAAGAATTCTGATATTGATTCCTACTCTTGAAAATTTAGTAGTAATGTTTCAATTCCCGTGTTTCTTTCTTAATTGTTTGAAAATGCTGAGCCTTAATAAATTTTTTAGAGATCTTAAACAAGGACTTTAGTTCTGGCTTTTACATACCGTTGCCACTATTTTTCATGAGGCTATTTAAAAACAGAGGGGCGGGATATGTTTAGACTTTCATCAGTTTTTTCCTCCCTACCTTGATATTTTGAAAAATTTCAAACCTATAGAAATGAAGAAAGAAATGTATAATGGACGCTATTGTACTGGAATCACTTATAATTAACTCACTGTTAATATTTTGTCACATTTGCTATATCTCTCACTTTTTTTTTTGCTAAAATATTTGCTATGAAGAAGTATAAAAATATGAAGCATCAATACCGATATAGAGCAGGAGCTGGCAAACTATGGCCCACGTGCTAAATTCTGCCTATTACCTGTTTGGCAAATAAAGTTTTATTGGAACACAACCATGCTCATTTGTTAACATGTTACCTACAGTGGCTTTCCCACTACAACAGTCGCGTTGAGTAGTTTCACTAGAGAGTGTATGGCCCTAAAATATTTAATAAATGATGCATTCTATAAAAACCACATAAACTTTTTATTCCATAAAATGCTTGCATGTTCCTGATAGCACAAGGAACCCATACACAGCGATTTGGAGCATACAATTTGGTATTAAAGTTAAATATTTGCATAAATATTACTCAGAAATCATGTTCTTACACATGTACCTTAGAGAAATCCTTGCACAGGTGTACCCAAAACATGCAGATGAATGTTATTAGTACTGTTTACAAGTGAAACACAAGCGGAAACAGTTCCAGTTTCCAACAGCACTAAAAAATTATATTGTGGATTATTCACAATATTATACTGTTGTGAAATGAAAGTAACAACAGCTATAGGAAAGAAGATGGGATGTATTTTAGAAGGAATATTGTGTGAAAAGACTATATGATTGTACTTTTATAAAGTTCTAAGATGAACAAAACTAAATATACTATTTGGGAGTACACACAGAAGTGATAAACTTTAAAGAAAAAGCAAATGAATGATAAAGGCAAAGTTTAGCATAGTGCACATGGGGTGAGGTGGAGGTATGCAGAGGGATGGGACAGGGAAGAGCACAAAAGTGGATGCCAGTTTGTTATATTCTGTTTCTTGTTTGGATGGAGTGTTTTTCGTGGATGATTATTTTTTTGTTATGCTTCATAAACTGCATTGAGTTAAGTATATTCTCTGTATATTTAGCATTTCATAATAAAAATATTTAAAAATTAAAATTTGAGGTTATACTATTCCAAAAACAAATAAAAGGTATTAATTAATCTTGTCATTCTAGGAGACTAATGCTGCCAGTGTTTATTTCTCCTGATTGTCATATTCGGGGACTGAGAATGTAATTGCTTCTGTTGATATAATGAATTACTAAGAGATCTGCTAAGATATATTAGAAAAGATAAATAGTTTATATATACAAATTATAATCAGAAAAACCACTCCATTTAAATAGCATCAAAGAAATAAAAAAACTCAGGATAGACTTAACAAAATATGTGAAAGACCTATATGAACACGGATGAAAGACTCAAAGAATGATAAAATAAATAAAAAGACATACCACATTCTTGGATAGCAAGACATAATATTCTATTCTCTCTTAATTGATTTAATAATAAATAAAAATTAATAAATTTCAATAAAAATACCAACTTAAAAAAAGAAAACCTAAACAAGTTGATCCCAAAGTTCATATGGAAAAATAAATCAGTAAGAAGAGCCAAGAAAAAGAAGAGCAGTGATAGAGCACTAGCATTACCAGATATTGTTACATATTATAAAGGCCCAATCATTAAAACAGTGTGATACTGGCTCATGAATACATGGAAAAACCAATGGAGGAGAATGAGATATCCATAAATAGACCCAATACATGCTACAATTTTGCATATGATAAAGGTGACATCTCAAACAAGTGAAGAAGGATATT